TCCGAGTCATGCGACGTCCTGACTTTCCAACGTGCGGTCCACAGGAGTCTCGACCCTTTCCCTGGGGCCCGTTTTTCATCCCGAGTCGTTTTTGTTGTGGTCGTTGGGCCCAGCGAGGGCCCCGAAAAGCCGAACACGGCAAAAAACCTGCAATTTCCATCGTACCCATTTCGATCGTACCGAGCGGTGCTCCTCGCAGGGGCCATCAGTCACGACCGTCGACGACGACGACGACGACGACGATCAATGCTTACACGCCAATCGGGACCGAACCCACCGCGCCTCTGGAGAGTGTCGAGGGCTGCGGTCCGCGGCAGCCCCTGGACGGGCGCGCGTTGATTTCCTTGTTGGGCGCGGGCAGAAGTGAGATGAACCAACGTATGCCAGCGCGTCCGCAGGGCTTGAGGTTGGTGATTCCGTCGATGGTTATAGCGCGCGAGAGCTCGACGGTTCTCATTGCCGGTGTGTCCAGACAGGGAATTGCAGGTCCGCGCTCGCCCCTCAGGGCCTGGTCTCGTTCCGAACAAACACTGCTGTCCATTTAAACATTTTGCGCGGTGTGCCTTTGGAGGCCTCGCGATGGCTCGGCGCCGATCGGGGATTCTTTGCAGCGCGAGGCGGTGCGAGCATCGCGCGGGCGCGTTGGCGGGTGATCTCGCTATCTGCTTGGCCCGGCTGGTGTTTTTTAGTGATTTTCGTTTTGCGCGTGCAATGTGCCCGACGTGGCCACTGTGCCTCGCGTGCCTGGCGCCCCGCTGGTTTGCCTGGCGCGCGCGCGCATTGCGCGCGCTTGCCGCCGTTAGCCTTCGATGTATGCTTGCCTTTGTTCCCTGCCCTCTCGCATTTTGGGCCCTCGCCTTGAATTCGCGGCGCTTCGCGCCACATCCTTTCTCCGCTACTCTCCCCCCTCACCTCGTCCTCCTCTTCCTGATCCTCCTCCTCCCCGCTTCGTTCCCTCATCGTCCATCCCCTTCCATCTTGCGCGGTGGGTTTTCGGTTTGTAGCCGCGCCGAGGCAATTTCAGCACGCCCTTCACGCCGCACGCTGTACGTTGTCCCCGCGCGGATTTCCATTGAAAGTCCCCGTGGCGCAAATCCCATGCCGATGTCGCGACAAGTCTAGCACGCGTTATGGCCCCGTGCGCATCCTTGCCGACGCGTCGCGGTCGCGCGCCGCCTCGCCGACCATGCCAAAACCATTTTCACAAGGTCGGTCGCCCCAGAAGGAGCTCAACCGAAATCCCGCAGAGCACAGGCCGCACGCCGCCGCCCAGACTCTTTGAAGGCCGTTTCTCTCGCGGTTCGCGTCTCCATCTTTTTTTGGAGTTTCATTGAAAGCCCCTGTGGCACAGGCCGCGAACCGCGTTTGGGCCATTTCAAAACGCCCGCCACGCCATTCGTGGCCTAGGCCGTTTTAGTTCATTCAATGCACGGTTCGCGGACCCCCGCGGAGTTGTACCAAATTTATGGATGTTGCGCAGGACGCGTGCCACCGCGCAGACCGTCGCAGCACGCCCATCGAACGGTTCGTCGCCGAATCGTACGAAACCCCATCGAAGGCGTTTGTAGCGCAGGGCGCATGCTGCCGCTCAGACTCTTTTAAAACGCCAGCCATGCGTTTCGTGGCAACATACAGGGGTTCCGCCGAAAACGCTGGTGACACAGGCCGCACGTCGTCGCCCGGGCCATTTCCGCGGCCGCATGAGGAAATTCCACTGCAGGGTCGTCAGGCACAAACCGCACGCCGCCACCCAGACCATGTAGCACGCACCCCTCACGGTTCGTGGCCCCGTATGGAACCTTGCCGAAGGCGTTTGTGGCACATGCCGCACTGCGCCGCACAGACCATTTCAGCACGCGGCCAACGTGTTTTGTTGCCAAATGTGGAGCACAGGCCGCAAGCCGCCGCCCCAAGCCAATTCAGCGCTGCCTCGCACGATTCGTGGGCCCATTGGGAGTTCAACCGAAGGGTTTCGCGGCGCAGGTTGTTTGCCGCCGCCCAGACCATGTAAGCACAGTCTTCACCCGCTTGGTGGCTTCATGGGGAGCTCCACCAGAGGCCCCTGTGGTAAATTTCGCATGCCGTCTCATTGTGTTCGCGCGTGCCGGGCGGTCTTGTCTATTTTCGCGCTGCCTTCAGAAAGTGTTGGCTCTTTCGCCAGGTTCAATCTGTATTGGAGGGGCAGAAAGGAGACGTCGGAAAAACAGACCAGCATGATGAGGACGATCGATGGCGGGGTCACTAGTTGAAGGGTGACGCGGGCGAGGGGCGCCTCCGATGAGGGGCATTCAGAGTATTTTTGTTAGCGCGTGGGCGAGCAGTGCCTCACAGTTACAACATATTTTGGTGAGGCTCGGAGCTGTCACAGTGCGTGGGCGGACGGCATTGGAGGCAGGATCGACGAGGGGGGCGTAGGAGTAGAAACGAAGGGGAACGAGGGGGAGAGACAGGGGCGGCGGGCAGGGCAGGGGGGGGGCAGAGGGCTCTGCGGGGAAGCCCATGGAAGGCTCCGCGAGGGCTCCCATGGGCCCGCGGTGGGTCCGGACTCCCCCCCCCGCGGTGGATCCGGACTCCCCTCGGCATCGTTTTTGTACACGTCTGGGAGGACTGCCGAGGGGAGTCCGAGCCCACCGCGGCCCCCATGGGCGCTCCCGCGGCGGTGGGCCCCGACTCCCCTCGGCAGTGGTTTTTGACATGTCCGGAGGGGCCTGGCGCGGGCTCGGCATGGCCCCCCAGGGCTCTAGAGTCCGTTGCGACTGGGGATCCAAAGCGCTGTCTGGGTCCCAGAGTTGTCGTGTCGTTGGGGGCCTGGGCGGGGGAGTCAACCGATGCTGCCTCCAGATTATGACACTGGGTGTGCGAAAATGAGCTGATGGAGCCTGCGCGGGGCCTGCAGTGGGCCGTCCTGGAGCTGTCTTGATGTCTTGTATCAGTGCCGTATCAGGATTTTGAGTTTTTTCTTTCGGGGGCATCTTGGCGACTGCCTGGTGCCCCATGGGGGATCAATGGAAGGTCTTGGATTGCGTTGCCGCGGACCTGGCTTGTCTTCGAGCCGTCCTTCGCCTGCCTTGGAGGCGGCGCGGAGGCATGTGAGCCATCGGAAGAGTAGCGCGATGGAGCTCTTGGAGGCCGTCGTTTTGTTCTAATTATCCCGTCTGTTGGGTCTTCGTTGTGAGCCCGCAGCGCTGAGCGCCTCCTCTCCTGTCTTCCCCCCCTTCTACCGCCGCCTCCTACTCCAAGCCGCTTCAGCTCCTCTTCGTATTTTTTTTTGCATGGTGGATCTTCGCTTTGTCTCCGCCAATGCAGTTTCCTCACGCCGTCCGAACGATTCGTGGCCCCATAGGGCCCCGCCGAAGGCCTCCGTAGCACAGGCCGCTTTCCGCTGCCCGATGCCAATTCAGCACGCACCCCACACGGTTCGCGGTCCCATAAGAAGGTGACACCGAAGATTCTCGTAGCAAAGGATGCGTGCCGCCGCTTAAACCATGTCAGCACACCCTTCGTTCGGTTCGTGGCCCCATAGGATGCTTCGCCGAAGTCTTTTGCAGCTCGGGCCGCTTGCCGCCGCCCAGACAACTTACGCACTCCCCTCGACCAGTTCGTGGCCACATTGGAAGTTCCACCGGGGGCCCTTGTAACACAGGCCGCCTGCCGCCGCGTAGTCCACTGAAGGTTTTGCTTCGCACCGCTCGTGGCCCCGAAGAGAACCCCGCGGAAGGTTTTTTGGGCATAGGCCGCATGCCGCCGCCCAGACCGCTTCACTGCTGTATTCGCACGATTCGTGGCACCATGGGAAGTTCGGCCAAACATTTCTGTTACTGCGCAGGCTGCGTGCTTCCGGCCGTACATGTTCAAATCAATTATCGCGCGTATCGTGGCCTCATTGAGATTAACGCTGAAGGTTGCTGTTGCACGCGCCGCACGCCGTCGCCGAGAGCATAGCAGCACGTTTTCACGCGGCTCGTGGCTCCACAGGATGCAGCGCAGATGGTTTTTGTGGCACAGCCGCTTGCCCGCCCAATCCGCTCCAGCACCCCCTCACACTGTTCGTTGCCCCACAGGGAGCTCGACCGAAATTTGTCGTTCCAGCACAGGCCGCACGCCGCTGCCCAGGCCATTTCATGTTTTAGCTCTTGCAATTCGTGGTCCCATACGGAACCTCGCCGAAGGCCCTTGTAGCGCAGGCAACTTTGCGTTGTTTGGGCCATGTCAGCACGCCCTGACACGGTTTGTGTTCCCATAGGGAACGTCACCAAAGGTTTTGAAGCACTGCCGCCGCCGAGACCATTTCAGTCCTTTCTTCATTCGGTTCGTGGCATCATAGGGAACTCCACCGCCGGCCATTGTAGCACAGGCCGCGCGCCGCCGCCCGGACCATGTCAGTACAGTCTTCATACGGTTCGCTCGTGGCCTCCAAGGGGGGGGGGGGTACCGAGAGCTGTTGCGGCACACTTCGCATTCGGGCTCGATGTGCTAGTTTGTGTTGCATGCGCGCTGCGTTCTGAAAGGGTCTGCCTCTTCGCAAAAATAAGTATGTGAGTCTGTGCCGGGTTCGTCGTGGCGCTTGCGAATGCGTGGAGTTGCTTCCAGAAAGAAGACGAATCTCGCGTTTGGACGGCCTGCAATGTCAGTCATGCCAACCTTGCAGCGCGCACCCTTTTGAACCTAGCGTGAGACGTGCCTTCACCGTCAGCCCCGACCTTGGGCGAGACACGCGCGGCGCTGCAGACATTCCGCAAAACCGACTTCCACCACGAGTGTGCGGGAGGCGCGCTAATCGCAAATAATTGGGTACGCCATTGCCAGACGCGCAACAAAACGCAACATTGGTTGCACCGCTGCGCGACGAAAGCGTAAAACCGTGCGCCGGCCGAAAGCATCACATGACAGCAACACCGTGACACATGATGCAGCCAACTCTGACCACCGTCGGGGGACGCGGTGGGTTCGGTCCCGATTGTTTGGTAGTTTCTCAGACGACGACGACCACGGTGCCAAAGGTGCCCAGGGCATGGCAGCGCTGTCGGTGCCCCTGGGGCGGTGGCCGGCGGGCCCGGGCTCCGCGCCCCAGGGGGCGGGGGGGGGGGGAGGAGGGCAGCGCAGCCGCGGGCGGGAGCGGCGCTCACGCTGGAGAGGAGGGGCAGGAGGAGGAGGAGGGGGCTGGAGAGGAGGGGCCGGTGGAGGAGGAGGGGAGGAGGAGGGAGGAGGAGGAGGAGGAGGGGAGGAGGAGGGGCAGGAGGGCAGGAGGGGCAGGAGGAGGAGGAGGGGGCTGGAGAGGAGGGGCAGGTGGAGGGAGGAGGAGGAGGAGGAGGCGGAGAAGGAGGAGGAGGGACAGGAGGAGGAGGAGGGGGCTGGAGAGGAGGGGCAGGAGGAGGGAGGAGGAGGAGGAGGAGGACCCCATCCCTGCCTCCTTCCCTGGTCCCCAGGCCCCCGACGTCCTCGCTCTCTTTGGCTGCGGCGTGGACCGCCGGAGGTCTCACATCCCGAGCCATCGTTTGACGGCCCCGGGGCCCGGCGGGGCCCCCTTCGGAGGCCCTCCACAAAAACGCCCGTCGTGAGTTTCGCTGCGACGCGAGAGGGTGTCTGGCCCTCCCCCTCCGCCCCTCTCGGACGGGGCCAGGACGAGGACAACTGTCTGGGGATGGCACATTCCCAGACATGCTCGCATCGTTTAGTTTTATATGTATGTATGTATATATATATATATATATCCCTGGGGGCGAGGCCGGGGGCCCCAGGACAGGTGCCCCGACCCCCCATGGCGGGACGGGGGGGGGCCTGCAGCCTCCCTGGAGCAGCCCAGGCGGCCCAAGAGTGCCCCAAGAGCGCTCCACGACAGGCCCAGCAGGCTCCAAGAGACCCAAGAGGGCGCCAAGAGGGCCCCAAGATGCCCATGATAAGCCCAAGACGGCCAAAGAGGCCCCCAAGACGCTCCAAGAGGCCTCCAAGAGGCCCCCCCAGAGGGCCCCAAGAGGCCCAAATCGTTAATTTTACTAAGGTTTTTGGACACATTTTGCCTTTCCCGCCTTTTCAGCTTTCCGACGCTCCACGACGGCTCAAAGGCCCCCCGCGGACGCCCCAAGACAGCCCTAGAGGCCTCCAAGAGTGCCTCAAGACGGCTCTGGAGGGCCCCAATACGGCCCAAGACGCGCCCACGACGGGCGAAGAGAGGCCCAAGACGGCCCCAAGAGGGGAACCGCGAACCGGAAATTCGAGCCTCCCGCCTCCACAGGGCCCCGCTCGGGAGGCCCCAAAGGGGCCCCAAGAGGCCCCAGGAGACCCCCAAGAGGCACCCAGGAGGCCCAAACGAAGCTTCAAGAGGCTCCCAAACAGCCCCGAGGAACCTCACAACGGACGGTGCGGACGAGCCGCACTTCGGACCGCCACCGCCGCCGGTCCAAGAAAACGGCCTCCTGGACGCCATGCGCGCCGTGGCCCTCCTGCGGTGGCACCTCCCGCCCCGGGCCAGCGCAGAGGCCCTCGGATCCCAGAGAGAATTCTCCGTCGTCAGCGGTGTCGCCGTCGTCGGCGTCGTCGGCGTCGACGCCGTCCCCGCCCCGGTCGCCCCTCGAGTCTTGTGCCGTCTTGGGCGGTTTGGGGGGCTGTCTGCGGACCATCTTCGGCTGCCTGGGGGCCTCTTGGAGGCCTCTTGGGGGCCTGTGGGGGGCCCGTTGGAACATTCTGGATGCTTTGGGGGGCCTTCTTGGTGTCTGGGGCTCTCTTTGGGGAGGAAGGCTGGAAATGTCAGGTCGGGTACCCCTGTGAGCTCTTTCTGGGAGCGGTCCTGGGGCCTTCTTGGGCTGTCTTCGGGTCCTCTAGGTCTCTCCTGAACACCACTTGAGCCGCCTTGGGGCCCTCTTGGAACTCTCTTTGGCAGTCTGGTGCGATCTTGGGGCCCTCTGGGACCCTCTTTGGCCGTCTTGGCGCGAGCTTGGAGGCCTCTGGGCGAATATTATGAACATGTACGTTTTCCGAAGGGAGTGGGGCCACGGGCCCTCTTGGGAGTCCTCTTGGATGCCTCTTGGGCCGTCTTGGGCGGTTTGGGGGGCTGTCTGCGGACCATCTTCGGCTTCCTGGGGGCCTCTTGGAGGCCTCTTGGGGGCCTGTGGGCGGCCTCTTGGGGCATTCTGGATGCTTTGGGGGGCCTTCTTGGGGTCTCCTAGGGCTCTCTTTGGGGAGGAAGGCTGGAAATGTCAGGTCGGGTACCCCTGTGAGCCCTTTCTGGGAGCGGTCCTGGAGCCTTCTTGGGCTGCCTTGGGGGCCTCTAGGTCGCTCCTGAACTCCACTTGAGCCGTCTTGGGGCTCTCTTCGAACTCTCTTTGGTAGTTTTTACAGGGCTTCCGCGTCCTTGGCCTCGGAGGCCGCCGCCTCCGACCCTCCGTGGGAGGACGGGGCGGCCGGGGAGATCCAAAATTGTCCAGAAGGGCCTCCAGAGGCTCCCAAGACGGCCCAAGCGGGCCCCGAGTCGCCGAAAGACCGCTCCAGGACGCCAAAGGTAGGCCCAAGACGGCCCGAGAGGCCCTCCAAGGCACTCCACGACGCTTCAAGACGCCTCTCCACAGCGCTTCAAGAGGCCGAAACCGTCAATTTTACGAAGGTTTTCGAACGATGTTGGCCTTCCAGCCTTTTTGGCTGTCCGACGTTCCAAGACGGCTCAATAGGCCCCCAAGAGCGCCCCAAGACGGCCCAAGAGGGCCCCAAGACGGTCCCAGAGTCGCCCAAGACAGCCCAACAGAGCTTCAAGACAGCCCCAAGATGCGCCCAAGAGGGGGACCACGACTCCAAAATTGTCCCTCCCGCTTGAAGAGTCCCCCAGGAGGCCCCAAGGAGCCCCCCAGAGGCCCCAGGAGGCCCCCAAGAGGCACCCAGGAGGCCCAAACGAGGCCTAAAGAGGCAACGAAACAGCTCCGAGGAGGCCCCACAACGGTCCATAAACGGCTACCGAGAAGCTGCGAAATTGCCTTCACGACGTCCCCGACAGGCCAACCACGAGATCCAAACCAACACCCATGAGGCCTCTGACCCACCACCCAGGGCACTGTGGCGGGAGCAGTGACAGCACTTGTGCACAGCATGTTCCGGCGGGAGGCTTCCGGAACACGCTGCAGGAGGAGGAGGAAGATCAGGAGGAGAGAGAGAGTTGGAGTGGGAGGAAGAGGCCTCCAAGACAGCTCCAAGATAGCCGAAGAGGCTTCCAAGAGGGCCCTGGGCGGCCCACGAGGGCCCCAAGGCTGTGCCTGAGGCGCCCCGAAGGCCCGAGAGGGCCCCAAGACGGCCCCAAGAGAGGCCCAAGAAGGGAAACACGAACTGGGAATCCGAGCTTTCTACCCCGAGAGGTTCTCGGGAAGTCCCAAGAGGCCCCCAGTCGGATCCAAGAGGCCCCCAAGAAGCTCCCAAGAGGGCCGACGAGGTTCCAAGAGATCTCCCAAGGTGGCCCCAAGAGGCACAACTCATTGTTTTACGATTGGGCTTTGACGGGTTTTCATTTTTTCGGCCTTTTGGCATCCCGATGCTCCAAGACGACCCAAGAGGCTTCCAATACCGCTCCAATATAGAGGAAGAGGCCTCCAAGAGGGCCCCAAGACGGCCCGCGAGGGCCCCAAGACGGTGCTTGAGGCGCCCAAGACGGCCCGAGAGGGCCCCAAGAGCTCCAAGAGAGGCCCAAGAAGGGGAACGCGATCCAACAGCGGAGCGTTCCCCCCAAAAAGGCCCACAGGAGGCCGCAAGAGGACCCCAAAAGCTTCCCGAGGGCCCAAAAGGCCCCTAGGAGACGTCCAAGAGGTTTTAAACTAGCCCAAGAGTGCCCTCGATGCGAAACTGCTTCCAGGAGGCCACCGGGAGGCTTCCGGATTGCCTCAATCTGGCCGCAGGTGGCGTCAAGTCGGGCCTCCACGCAGCCAAGACGGCCAATGACGGCTTCAGATTGCAGATCCGATGCCCCCAAGGGACCCTCAGACGTCCCCCCAAGAGGCACCCAAGAGGTGCCTCCAACAGCCAGTTGACGAAGCATGCGGAACACCCCAGAAGCTCCTCAGATGCCGTCGCGCGCCTGTGCTTGATAGCGTTGTCCAAGATCGTCCAGCGCTCCCACGGCCTGGGCTAGAACCTGAGCGCGCGCGAAGCGCGCGCGATGGTTCTAGTATATATATATATATATAAAAATATATACATATATATATGTATATATGTGTATGTGCATGTATGTGAATGTATGTATGTATATGTGTATGTATTTCTGTATGTATGTATGTATGTATGTAATGAATGAATGTATGTATGTATGTATGCATGCATGTAGATAGGTAGATAGGTAGGTAGGTAGGTAGGTAGGTATGTATGGATGGATGGATGGATGGATGGATGGATGGATGTGTATGTATGTGTATGTATGTGTATGTATGTGTATGTATGTGTATGTATGTGTATGTTTATGTATGTATGTGTATGTGTGTATGTATGTGTATGTATGTTTATGTATGTGTTTGCATATGTCTGTATGTGTATGGATATATGTGTGTATGTATGCATGCATGTATGTATGTATGTATGTATGTATGTATGTATCTAAACATACATACATATTGCCGTGCCATTTTTCGGCGGGAGGTGTGTGCCATTGTTCGGCCTGGGGCCCTCGCCGGGCCCCGGGACCGTCAAGACATTATCCGGGATGAAGAAGCGGGTCTCGGGGAAAGGGTCGGGATTTCGAGGGACCGCGTGCTGTGAATCATCCTGGCGAAGGGTCCAACCATATGCAGTTATGAATACCGCAATTGTGAATATCTTCTTCGGCGGAGCTCCCTATGGGGCCACGAAGCGCTGCACTGGGCGGGGGGGGACGCATGCGGGCGGTAGCGCTGGGGCCGTCGGTGGGTTCCCTGTGAGGCCGCGAAACGCTGTACTGGGTGGGGGGGGGGGGGACGCGTGCGGGCATGCGCTGGGGGGTGCGCAGACTATATTTTCGCGGGCCTTATACACTTCCCGCCCACGGGCCTGGAGGGGTGCGCGCCGACACCCCCCGCCCAGGGGTTTGGGAGGGGGCCCACCGACAAGCCACCGGGAAGTTCAGAAGCTCAGGGGGGGGTCA